AGGGTGAGGGGAGCAGAGGCAGAGGGAGCAGCGGATTCTTTGCTCAGCAGGGAGCCCAATGCAGCACTCCCATCCCTGGACCTTGGGATCATGACCTGGGCTGAAGGCAGATGTTTAACTGACTGAGCCACACACACACCCTATTCGAGCTATTCTTATTGTAACTTTTTTTTTTGTTAAGTTTGAAATTATCTCCAAATAGTTAAAAACAAGTGAAAAAACCCAAAACTTAAAAAAAAAAAAGTGGTTTGACTTAACGGATCAAAGTGTGCATGCGTGTGAGAGAGAAAATGATAGTTGTGCTTATTTTTTATTTTCACATATTTTAATGTATGTCCTAGGTTTTCGGGGTAGTTGGGAGAGAAGCCAGCATGTGTATTTTGGTCAGTCTTACTTGAATTTCTCAATTTGGTAAGTGAAATTGAATAATACTAAATGTGGGCTAAGCCTGTATGTTGTTAATTATCCTAAAAATACTGTGATATAGCTGTGCTCATTGATGTTTTTTTTTTGTTTTTTTGTTTTTTTAGTATCTGCAAAATGGCTGATAATTTGGATGAATTTATTGAAGAGCGAAAAGCCAAACTGGCCAAAGATAAAGCAGAATTGGAAAGTGATCCACCGTACATGGAAATGAAGGTAAAGTTGTTAATTTTTTTTCCAACATATTTCATTAAAATTGTCTCTGAAGATTAGTTTTGTGTAGATGCAAAACATCCTTTTCAATGAGTGAGAATCTTCTGTTTCATACTTTTGTTTGGGTGTCCTGTCACTCTGAGTCCGAAAGCCTGATTCTGGACAAGATTGAATTGATTATGAATGAAGTTTTTCTGTTGTGGTGTTTTGTATGTCACAGTTTTTTCTCTCCTATTAGGGTTTAATTAATAATTGCTGTGCTAGAAGTAGTTCACTACTAGTAAAAGGAATTGTCATAATGTAGATATAAAAATAAGTTCTCATACGTATTCTAAGTGAAAAGTACTTCAATAAATTAGCTCTTAAATTTTTAATCTACAAAAGTGAATTTATTGGAATAGTTTATTTTGGTATACTTACTTTTCAGATTAGAATTTGTTCAAGTGTTTCTGAAAGCAATGTTTGAAAAAGACTTCTTAAAGCTTTCCTAATTTTGGTGAAAGAATGATCGATTCATTTAGTAAATATTTATTAAGACTATGCTAGGTACTATGCTAAGCTCTATTATGGCACTAATCTAGACAGATGTGGCACCTTCTCTCTTGAGCTCAGTATATTAATAAAATATAGGATATGAATCAGTCTTGCCCATCATATAGTCCATTGTAATCAGAGTAACCATATATATTGGCTTGATAACATAATCCTGGTTTAACTGTTGCCCTATGTCTCATCTGGTTTAGCTTGTGTCTTGGGCAAAGGTATAGGCATCTGGTTGACATGATAAATAATATGGACAGCCTAATTATGAGGGACTTTTACTTACATAGCTAACATTTATTTTGTGCTAATTATGGAATGTCTTAGTCTTTTTTATTTTATTTTATTCTATTTATCTTTATAATTCCAGTATAATTAATATGCAATATTATATTAGTTTCTGGTGTACAATATAGTGATTCAGCAATTGTATACATTATTCAGGGCTCATCGTTCTAAGTATACTCCTAATGCCCTTCATCCTCATCCAACTCTCCTCTGGCAATCACCAGTTTTCCAAACTTAAGAGCCTGTTTTTGTCTTTTTTTCTTTGTTTTCTTAAATTCCATATATGAGTGAAATCATATGGTATTTGTCTTTCTCTGATTGACTTACTTAGTACAGTACCCTTTAGATTCATTCATGTTGTTGCAAATGGCAAGAGTTCATTCTTTTTTATGGCTGAGCAATACTGCATTGTGTATATATGCATATGTATATATGTATGGATAGATGCTTGGATTGCTTTCATGTCAAAAAACATATGGTTGCACATATCCTTTTGAATTCATTTTTTCATTTTCTTCGGGAAAATACCCAGTAGTAGAAATAACTGGATTATATAGTAAATAAATAAATAAATAAATAAATAAATAAATAAATTTATTTATTTATTTATTTATTTATTTGTAGATTTTATTTATTCATGAGAGACACACAGAGAGACAGAGACACAGGCAGAGAGAGAAGCGGGCTCCATGCAGGGAGCCTGACGTGGGACTCGATCCCGGGTCTCCAGGATCAGGCCCTGGGCTGAAGGTGACCATAAACTGAGCCACCTGGGCTGTCCATACAGTAATTTTATTTTTAATTTTCTGAGGAACTTCCACATTGTATTCCACCAGTGGAATACACTGCACCAGTTTGCACTTCCATTAAGAGTGCATGAGGATTCTTTTTTCTCCATATGCTTGCCAACATTTGTTTTTTGTGTGTTTTTGGTTTTTGATTGTTGCCATTCTGACAGGTATAAAGTGATAGATATCTCATTGAGTTTTTTTTTTTTTTTTCATTGAGGTTTTGATTTGCACTGTGGTTCCCTACAAATTTTAGGATTCTATTTCTGTGAAAAACATTGTTGGTATTTTGATAGAAATTGCATTGAATCTGTAGATTGCCTTTGGGAAGTATGGATATTTTAACAATGTTCATTCTTCCAGTGCATGAGCATGAAATATTTAACCATTTGTTCATGTTGTCTTCAATTTCTTTCATCAGTGTTTTATAGTTTTTACACATAGGTCTTTCACATCCTTGGTTTATTCCTGGATCTTTTATTATTTGGTGCAGTTATAAATGGAATTATTTTCTTGATTTCTGCTTCATTATTAGTGTGTAGAAATGGAACAGGTATCTGTATATTGATTTTTTTTTTAATCCTATGACTTTACAGGATTTATTTATCAGTTCTAGTACTTTTTTGGTGGAGACTTTAGGGTTTTCTATACATAGTATTATATCATCTGCAAATAGTGAAAGTTTTACTTCTTCCTTTCCAATTTGGATGACTTATTTCTTGTGTGATTGCTGTGGCTAGGACTTCCAGTATTATGTTAAATAAAACTGGTAAGAGTGGACATCCTTGTTTTGTTACCGATATTAGGGGAAAAGTTCTCAATTTTTCTCTGTTAATGTTGTTAGTTGTGGGTTCTTCACGTATGGCTTTTATTATATTGAAGTATGTTCCCTCTAACTTCTTTGGTGAGAGTTTTTATCATGAATGGATATTGTACCTTGTCTCAAATGCTTTTACTGCATCTATAGAAATGATCATGTTTTATCCTTTCTCTTGCTGATTTTGTCAATCGTGTTGATTGATTTGTGACTGTTGAACTACCCTTGCATCCCAGAAATAAATCCCACTTGGTCATAGTGAATAATTTTTTTAAATGTATTGTTAGATTTGTGTGCTCATATTTCATTAAGGATTTTTGCATCTATGTTAATCAGAGGGCCTGTAATTCTCTTTCTTTATATTGCCTTTATTTGATGTTGATATTAGGGTAAGGCTGGCCTCAATAAATTTGGAAGCTTTCCTTTCTCCTCCAATTCTTTTTTTTTTTTTTTGGAATAGTTTGAGAATAGGTATTAACTCTTCTTTAAAATATTGGGTAGAATTCACCTGTGAAGCTGTCTGGTCCTGGATTTTTGTTTTTTGGCAGTTTTTTGATTACTGATTCAGTTTCATTGCGGGGAATTGGTCTGTACAGATTTTCTGTGTCTTTCTGATTCATATTTGTAACATTATATTTCTAGGAATTTATCCATTTTTTCTAGGTTGTCTAATATGTAGGTATATAATTTTTCATATTCTTTTATAAGCTTTTGTATTTCTGTGGTATTGGTTATTTCTCCTCTTTCATTTTTGATTTTGTTTATTTGAGCCTTTTTTGGTGAGTCTCCCTAAAGGTTTATCAGATTTTGTTGATCTATTTTTCTTTTTCTTTTTCTTTTTCTTTTTCTTTTTCTTTTTCTTTTTCTTTTTCTTTTTCTCTTTTTCTTTCTTTTTTTTTTTTTTTTTACAAAGAACCAGCTTCTGGTTTCATTGATCTGTTGTTTTTTAGTTTCTATTTCACTTAATTCTGCTCTAATCTTTATTTTCTTCTTTCTACTGGTTTTGGGTTTTGTTCTTTAGCCCTTTAGATGCAAGGTTAAGTTATTCTTTTGAGATTTTTCTTCTTGAGGTAGGCATTCATTGCTTATAATCTTGCTGTTTAGAACAGCATTTACTGTGTTACAAAGATTTTGGTCCGTTATGTTTTCATTTTCATTTGTCTCCATGTATTTTTTTATTTCATCTTTGATTTCTTAGATGGCCCATTCATTTTTTAGTAGTATGTTTTTTAACCTTCATCTGTTTGTATTCTTTCCAGTATTTTCTTGGGGTTGATTTCTAGTTCATAGCATTGTGGTTAGAAAACATGACTTTAATCTTTTTTAATTTGTTGAGACTTTTTTGTTGCCTAATATATGATCTGTTCTGGAGAATGTTCCGTGTGCACTTAAAGATTGTATATTCTGCTGTTTTAGGCTAGAATGTTCTGAATGTATGTTAGATTTACCTGTTCAGTGTGTCATTTGAAGCCACTGTTTCCTTGTTGATTTTTCTCTTGGGATGATCTATCTATTATTGTAAGTGGGGTGTTAAAATCTTGTATTATTAGTATTACTATCATTACTATCACTAGTATTAATAGTATTGATTGATACTTCCTTTTGTTATTTAATAGCTAGCTGCTTTATGTATTTGGGTGCTCCTATGTTGGGTGCATAAATATTTACAATTGTTATATCTTGTTGAATTATTCCTTTTATGATTGTATAGTGTCCTTTGTCTCCTGTTCAGGCTTTTTTTTAAAGTCTGTTTTGTACTTTTTTTGCGCTATAAGTATTATTACCCCCATCTTTCTTTTCACTTCGATTTGGATGATAAGTGTTTTTCCATACCTTCACTTTCAATCTGCGTGTCTTTAGGTCTGAAATGAGTCTCTTCTAGGCAGCATATATTGTGTCTTACCTTCTTTTTTTTTTTTTTTTTTTTTTAATGGGGTGCCAGGACCAATGGTCAGCAGGTATCCAGGTACCAAAAAATTATGGTTCTGAAATATATTAATGTTGATTCCATAGGAAGAATAGTGTAGCTGTCCTATGTGTGCCACTCACGACAGAGCCCTTGCTTTTTTATTCATTTAGTCACCCTATGTCTTTATATTGGAGCATTTAGTCCAATTACATTCAAAATAATTATTGATACATAGGTACTTAATGCCATTTTGTTAAATGTTTTATGTTTTTTTTTTTTTTAAAGATTTTATTTATTCATGAGAGACAGAGAGAGAGGCAGAGACATAGCAGAGGGAGAAGCAGGCTCCATGCAGAGAGCCTGACGTGGGACTCGATCCCGGGACTCCAGGATCATGCCCTGGGCTGCAGGCAGCGCTAAACCGCTGCGCCACCGGGGCTGCCCTATGGTTGTTTTTATAATTCTTTATTCCTTCCTTCCCTTGCTGTCTTGTGGTTTGATGGGCTTTGTTTAGTGATATTCTTGTATTCCTTTCTCTCTTTTTTTTTGGTGTATCTATTAGTGTTTTGTTTTTTTTTTTTAAGATTTTATTTATTCATGAGAGACACAGAGAAGCAGAGACATAGGCAGAAGGAGAAGCGGGCTCCTTGCTGGGAGCCTGATGCAGGACTCCATCCCCGGACCTGGGATCACGCCCTGAGCTGAAGGCAGACCCTCAACCGCTGAGCCATCCAGGTGTCCCTCTATTAGTGGTTTATGATTTGTGGTTACCATTAGGTTTATATATAACATCTTATGCAAATAGCAGTCTATATGAAGTTAATGATTGCTTAAGTTTGAATCCATTATAAAAGCACTAAATTTTTACTTCCTTCTCTTTCATGTTTTAGGTATATGGTGTCATATTTTACATTATTTTGTGAATCCCATTACTGATTTTTATAGATCATTTGATTTTACTACTTTTGTGCCTCTGTACTGATTTTATAAAGGATTATTATTCTGTCCTACTATGTTTATATGTACCTGTGAAATTTGTTCCTTTCCTACTTTTCTTATTCCTGCTTTGATCTTTCTTTTCAACTCAAAGAATCTCCTTTAACATTTCTTATAAGGCTGGTTTAGTGGTGATGAATTCCTTTAAATTTTGCTTGTCTGGAAAACTCTCTCTTTCCTTCTATTCTGAATGATAGCCTTACTGGGTAGAGTTTTCTTTATTGCAGGTGTTTTCCTTTCATGGATAAGGCTTAGTCTTAAGAGGCTACATTTATGATTGACGTGAATCTATGAGATAAATACTGTTGTTATGCTCATTTTCTAAATGAGTGAACTGAGGAGGTTATAGAATTAGTCGAAGTAGGCTTTGATTCCTGATATCCTGACTGTATGTAGTGCTTATTCTCTTAACCATCATATTACATTGCCTTCTTTCTAGTAGCTGCTCTGGTCAAGGAGTTGTGTCAAGGACTTTATATGTATTATTTTATTTAATCATGATATCCCTGTTAAGTAGGTAGAATATTTTTGTTTTACAGATCAAGAAAGTGAAGCTCAAAGGGGTTAAGTAATTCTTCTAGGTACATACAGTGGTGGATTCATGATTGGAACCATCATATGTTCAGCCCCAAAGTCTATGGGTTTAACAACTCTCCACTTAGTACAATCTTACAGTGTTTGGAAAGGGTATTACAAAGTCTTAAATATAATTTTATTATAATTTCTCATATTAAATAGTATGTAAATCAGATTTTTTAAAAAAGATTTTATTTATTCATGAGAGAAACAGAGAGAGGCAGAGATACAGGCAGAAGGAAAAGCAGGCACCATGCAGGGAGCCCAATGCAGGCCTTGATCCCGGTACTCCAGTATCACACCCTGAGCCAAAGGCAGATGCTCAACTTGCTCTGCCACCCAGGTGTCCCAATCATGATCTTTTAAGTCTTAATTCAAATATCACTGCTCAGTCAAGTCTTTCAGTCCCTCTTGCATCATTTATGGCCCTTCTTACCATGCTCTATTGTCTTCCCCATAGATCTTACCACTTACTCTCTACGTATTGCCATAGTTTAATTACATATTGTGTTTATTGTTTGTCCCTTCAGTAGTTTGAACTCCATGATTGCAGAGATTCTCATGTTTTTTTTCATTTGTGTTTCCAGTGCCGAGGAACTATGTATAGGAACTTAGTGAATATTTGTTGGTAAATGAATTCTAATATTTAATTAGAATTTATTGCATTTATTACAGTATTAAATACTTTTGGTTAATTCCTCAAACTTCACATTTAAATTTCTTCCATGATGTATTGTGTAATTTTGTCAAGTCACTTAATTAAAGTATTGAGATAGAGTGGGTATTTTGTGGATTTTTCCCTTTACCTTTGTAAACATACTGTCTCTTTCAGGGAAAGGCATCAGAGAAGTTTTCTGAAAACAGTAAACTATTAATCTCCATGGCTAAGGAAAACATACCACCAAACAGTCAACACACCAGGAGTTCTTTAGGTATGTCATTAGGTATACTGAATTGATTTTAAAGTATTCTTAGCTTTGTTGTGAAAGAGGTTTGTCTTGTCAGAAAAAATTTCTTTGGAATCCCAGTATCTCTTGGCTTTCTGGAATCTTACTGTCTGTATGACTGTACTGTCTGCAAAGGAAATATAATGCATACTGAGAACCATTCCCCCCCCCTTTTTTTTTAAAGATTTTATTTATTTATTCATAGAGATGCAGAGAGAGAGAGAGAGGCAGAGACACAGGCAGAGGGAGAAGCAGGCTCCATGCCGAGAGCCTGACGTGGGACTCCATCCAGGGTCTCCAGATCACGCCCTGGGCTGCAGGCGGCGCTAAACCCCTGCGCCACCGGGGCTGCCCCCATTTACCCTTTTTAAATGATATTCCCTTATAATCTATGGAAATCATAATAGTATGTATAACATAAGCAAAATTAATTGAAAAATTTGAGTGAAATTTATGTATGTGTGAGAGATAGGCACCCTGAAAATGGAGGACTTTTATTTAGAAACCAGGGATACTTAAGAAGATACAAAATGCTATTTGGTGAATGACCATTTTAATTATTGATTACTACATTAAAATTTTACAGAAGTTAATATTGCAGCTATACTGAGTTTTTGAATATGGTTTGCTATGAAAATATGTAGAAATTTTTTTGAAGTACAATACATATTATGTTATTATATAATATATTAATTGTTAATTTCAATATAATGTTATTTATTGTATCATTAGTTTCAGGTGTACAACTTGCTGGTTCAACAATTCTATACATTACTCATTGCTCATTATGATAAATATAGTTATCATACAACATTATTGAAGTATGACTATTTCCTATGCTGTAGTTTTCATCTTTTTGACTTATTTTTAACTGCAAGTTTGGATTTTTACCTATTTTACCTGTCCCCCTCATCGACCTCACCTTTGGCAACTACCACTTTGTTGTACTTAAGAATCTTTCTTTCCATTTGTTTTTTTAGATCGACATATTAAGTGAAATCATATGGTATTTGTCTTTCTCTTTCTGACTTATTTCACTTACCACAGAACCTGCTAGGTCCATCCATGTTATCTCAAGTAGCAAGATATTACTCTTTTTTATGGCTAATATTCTATTTCATATATGTAACCATATTTTTAAAATATATTTGCTATTTATGGACACTGGGTTGCTTTCATATCTTGTTATTGTAAATAATGCTGCAGTAAATTTAGGGATGATATATCTTTCAAATTAATGTTTTTATTTTGTTTGGTTAAATAACCAGTGGTGAAATTACTGGGTCATATGTTTAATATTTTGAGCTATCTCCATTTTGTTTTCTATGGTGGCTACACCAGTTTGCATTTCCACCAGCAGTGCATGAGGGTTCCTTTTTCTCTGCATGCTTTTTCTCCTCTTCTCCACTTGTTCCTTGTTTTTGATTATAGCCATTCTGCCAGGTGTAAGGTTGTGATTTGTATTTCCTTCCTAATTAGTGGTGATGAAAATCTTTTCATGTGTCTCTTGGTCATCTTCTTTCATCATCTTTCTATGTCTTCTTTGAAAAATGTCCGTTCCTATTTTCAGTCCCCTCTAGACAGAGAGTTAGAGACAAAGGCAGAAGGAGAAGCAAGCTCCCTGCTCAGAGCCTGATGTGGGACTCAATCCCCAGACCCTGGGATCACGACCTGAGCCAAAGGCTGATGCTCAGCCACTGAGCTACCGAGGTGCCCCTTCAGCCCATTTTTAAACTCTGTTATTTGTTTTTTTGGTGTTGAGTTATATAAGTTCTTTATATATTTCTGATATTAAACCCTTTACTGGATGAATCAATTGCAAATATCTTCTCCTGTTCATTGGATTGTCTTGTTGTTCTGTGGATGTTTCCTTTGTTGTGCAAAAGCTTTTTATTTTAGTGTAGTCACAGTATTTTATTTTTGCTTTTTTTTTTTTTTTTTTTTTAAGATTTTATTTACTTATTCATGAGAGATACACAGAGAGAGGCAGAGACCTAGGCAGAGGGACTCCTTGCATGGAGCCTGATGTGTGTGTGTGTGTGTGTGTGTGTGTGTGTGTGTGTGAGAGAGAGAGAGAGTGAGAGAGAGAGAGAGAGAGGCAGAGATCTAGGCAGAGGGGCTCTTTGCATGGAGCCTGATGTGGGACTTGATCCTGGATCCTGGGATCACGCCCTGAGCCAAAGGCAGACGCTCAACTGCTGAGCCACCCAGGCATCCTTGCTTTTGTTTTCTTGCTTTAGGAGAACTATATAGAAAAATGATGCCAAGACCAACGTCAAAGAGATTATTGTCTTTGTTTTCTTCTAGCAATTTATGGTTTCGGGTCTCACATTTAGGTCTCAATCCATTTTGAATTTGTTTTTATGTATGGTGTTAGAGTCATCCAGTTTCATTCTTTTGCATGTAGCTGTCTAGTTTTCCCAACACTATTTATTGAAGAGATTATCTTTTCCTCATTGTATATTCTTGCCTTCTTTGTTTTGTATATTTTTTTATTGGAGTTTGATTTCCCAACATATAGCATAACACCCAGTACTCATCCTGTCAAGTGCCCCCCTCAGTGCCAGTCACCCAGTCACCCCATCCCCCTGCCCACCTCCCCTTCCACTACCCCTTGTTTGTTTCCCAGAGTTAGGAGCC